AAAAAAAACATTTTGACATAGTGTTATGATGGAAAATACGTGGTTAAAAAATAATAAATTTTTTTTAATTTACGTGTAATATTATTTTATTGAAAAATGTGTTATTGAAATAAGGTCAAATCATTGTCGAATAATGTATTTTTATGGAAAAATAGGGCCCAAACAAGGGCTTTATTACTTTTACGCTACTCACGCAATTGCACTGCATATTATTTAACAAACAATAAGTCGTCATCATTTTTATAAATTTAATGGTAAAAATTCGACCACCTCAAAGTTCACTGGGCAATCGAAAATATTTTTCAAAGTTTAGTGAGTGGCTTTTTTAATAGTGAGAAATTGAAGATATTTTTCAAAGCTTGGTTAGCAATCGAAAACATAACAATTTGTTAAAGGCGTGATGGGGCGCCACATGTTTATTCTGTTAGTTACGTCATTAATTCCTTTCAAGAATTAGAACGGATGTTAAGTTAGTGAGTAACGTCTAACGTTTTGATTCGTTATCTTAAAATTTAGTGAGCAATCGAAAACATAAACATAAGTTTAATGACCATTGGAACAATTAACTCTTCCATTTTCATTTTATCGCTGTATTTCTTGAACAAAAAACTTACCAAATTTGCCCTGAAGAAATCCTGGGAAATCAATCTAGATTGTGTTATTTTCAGTCCTTTCTTTTTTTCTTTTTCTTTTTTTTTGTTGGTTTAGATCATTTCATTTGCTTAATGCTAGTGTAGTAGATGCGATGGGACTCTTATGTGTCTTTACACAATCCTTCAACATTGCAAGAGGTCTTAAATCTTCCTTTCCACCAGATGGCAGACAGCCCTAGCTTGTGCTGCTGTCCATACAGCATACCACCACCGCGAGGACTATTACTAGCAGATGCTGTAAGTATTATGCCCTAGGTCCAATCAACTTTGGACATAAATATTTTTATATATAATTAATACAATTAAATGGCAGATCTATTATTTAATTAATAGACAATTAAATAAATAATAGAGTCCGTGGATTCAAATATTTGTAATTTGTTAATCACAAGGAGTTGTGATTGTGAGATACAAATTACATCTGATTTAATCTTAAATCATCCGTGGTCGTAAGTAATAACGAGATACGGATATCGTTATTACGGATAGACCATCACGTGTGGCATTTCTTACTTGTGAAGTAAGTAGCTGATCTCACAAACTAAAGTGTGGTGACACTTAAATGAACACGTGGATGTTTTTGTTATAGAACAAAACATTGGAGACCCGTCGAAAGATTCCACATGGATAACTATCTGAGTGTCAGTGGTTAATCTCTAACGTTCGGTAGTGGAATTGGTCCTTTGACTTGAGGTCGTCATAGTACCTTATATGAGGACAGTCATACTTTGGCAGTGTTGGATGTTGCTCTAAAAAGGGCCGCTAATACGATATCGTTCGGGTACGTCAAGAACCGTATGAAGGTTGTGATTGATCAATAAAGGATTCGTCACTCTTAGATAGTAGGAGATTATGGTCTGCGTTTCATTCAATTAAGTCGATGATGAAATCCTTGGCCAAGGTATACTCATAAGTCGAAAAGGAGTTTTCGACTTATATTGACTTAATAGTGGAGTGAAAGTTATGATCGATGATCGAGATTGTCACAACTCCATATCTCGTAATTGATCGGATCATATTAACGAAGGGATTATAGTTTCACGGTAAAGGAACGAATTTGATTTTGTCATATCACGTGACATTTCCCGTCACATGTATTGCCCTGACACATTGCTAGATGTCAATCAGGGACGGCGAATGTGAATTGACGATAAATTAAAAGGGTGTTTTAATTTATCAATTTTGATTAGATCAAAATAATATTTCACGTCATTAGGTATCATGGTCGGGAACCTAATGGGTCACACACAAAAGAGAATTGGAAGATTGCAAATTGTCAATTGGTTAATTTAACAATCGTTGGATAAATTAATTAATTGGATTTGTTATTTATATTTTCGAATTAATTAATTAGATTAATTAATTCATGGACCGGGTTTAATTAATTGGATTAATTAATTATTGGACCGGACTGGACCGAGCCTGTTTGGGTTTATATAAATACATAACTAGGGTTTGAGGTCCATAAGGTTTTTCATTATTCTTGCTGGCACAAGAGAAAACCCTAGAGGTTGCAATCAAATTCTCTGTGTGGATCACCGTTGGAGGCTGAACAATTAGACAGCTGTGGTGGCAAATCAAGGTTGATGGAACGAAAAGAAAAGCAAAAAGATTCCAGATCTGAAAAAGGTACAATCTTATCACAATTTCTATCTAAACACAAAGGCGATTCTTGGTGGGAATCGAAAATTATTTTAAATTCCGCTGTGCATGTATAAGTAGATTCCCAACAGATGCAACAACCACCCGAGTAGTGGCTATTGAAATTACAGGAGCCTGAGCTAATTACACAGCAGATCTTGAAGGATCTACAATGGCCTATAGGCATAGGAGCTGAAGCAAAATTTGGGCAAGTCCATCTTTTGAGATGTTCAGTGGCGATTCTCTAGAACTGAAATGGGGTGGAAATTGAGGAAAAGACTACGTGTCTAGGGCCACATGGGTCCTACACGCCCCTAATCTGTCCAATGCCCATGAGGCCCTCAACGCATAGCACCCTTCAAAAAATAAGGCCGTGGTTGGTTTGCCGTTTTCGGCCCATTTTCCGTTTTCCATTTTCGAAAACACGGAAAACGCGTTTGGTCTGTTATTTTCAAAAAGGCATTTTCGAAAACGAGTTAAAATTTATAACTGAAAACGCAAAACGACTTTTTATCGTTTTCAGCGTTTTCAGTTATAAATGTCCAAAACGCTCAAAAAGCGGAAAACGGGCCGAATCGTTTTGAAAATGAAAATGGAAACCAACCGCAGCCTAAAGTTTTAAATGATTTGAGATTGTAGGTGGGATATATATACACATATAAAATTGGATTTAATTTGTACAAAATAAAAAGTTTGGGTACTGAAATTGCAATTATTCATTTTTAATTTTGACATTTTTTTTTTACTGTTTTTATAGACGGATCTTGATGGTATGAGGTTTCGCACAAAATGTTTCAAACATGGGTTTTTTCTGCAATTTTCAATAGGTAATGGATATATTGCATGTGAAAATGTTTTCAGGGAGTTTTCTGCTATTAATCCTTTAGTTATATATAAACACAAATAATCGAGGGATCATCTAGTTCTAGCTATCACATAGAGATTCCAAATGGGGTTGATTCATGGTGGATATTCAACAAGCAAACAATAATTTAGCAAATTGAACGGCATTGACGAACAATATTCATCAGCCAAGAGCTGGAATTGATGAACCGAACGGTCAGTTTCAAATTGGACTATTACAATATCACGCGAGATGCTCATGATTTTTATTTATTTTTTATGGGCAAGAAGGCACCACGTGGCAATAGACGAGATAAAGGAGCTTTAATTAATGACAAGCATAGAGATATTTTGTGTAGAAATAAAGACCACTTGAATGATTTGTCACTTCTTTATCTTTCGAGGATCGAGATATTTATGCTAGTTGAAAACAGCTAGAGGACCAATTTCAAAGTGAAACATTATATAAGGAAACAATAGTGATGGTAATAGGAAAAAAATCTCCCTAGACTAGTCATTTCGTTAGTTGAAGAAGGACATGTTTGAAACCTTATTGAATGATCGAAAGATAGAAGAGGACATCCACCGAGGTTTCGTTCTAGCTTCCTTAGTCTCAATCAAGATGACACTACAAAGACACAATCATAATGGGATGTGACATTTCTCCAAATCAAAGTGCACCCAATAGTGCTCCAATTTGTGTCAATGTATTTCAACTTAAGGGAATTGCTATAAGCTTTTGCCGCATCCAAGCAACTGGTGATTCTTGAAGTTCATGTGCCTCCTAACCCGACATAAATAGGAAGGATTGAATAATAATTCGTTGTATTATTAAATAAATCTTGATCATAGAGACCCAATTTTTGCTCGTATGAACCTTTGAAGGAAAAGAGTAGATCTAGCAATGAATTTTATTAATAAGTTTAGTGGCGAAGCCAACGGAAAAGTGGTGAAAAATATTAATTAATGAAGGTCCAAAGAATGGTAGCTAAAAATCATGACAAATTTTAGAACAATTGTAATATATTATAATAAACATGTTACTTTTCACTATTTACCATTCATTTTCACATACGATTATTCAAACTGGATTCGAGCACACACATCTAGGAGTTTTCGCTTGTGTTTGTTGAGGGCTTACCATTTAAAGTATTACCTATTGAGATATCAACTGCTGATACAATTGAACATTTGCTCTTTATTTTATCAAAATTTATTGAACCATTAAAATAGATCGATTTGCATTGAAAATCGCTATTTCACCTCCAAATTTTTCGTTTATTTTATCCAAATTCTTATCGTCAATATGATGATCATTTGAGCTGTGATCTATACATTTTTGATCTAATGTTAAGACAAAATTTAAAATATTGGTTAAAAGTTCAAACACAACAATCAGTGTACATTTTATAGTCCAATTTGGTCAAAACTCGAAAGGATCCAATGCTTTGATATTATTTCATTATGCCACGTCGCAGTTGAAAGCTTACTTGGCATTTCTTTTTAATTTTTTATTTGGTACAAGTTGGATAGGTCAGGTGTGATATGGATTAGCATGACATTTAGGAAAGAGAAATGCCCTTCCTAACCTCCAAGGGCCGTTTATTCCCGGTTTTAGTAACCCTAAAAATCTATAGGATACAAATGGAATAATACGAAAAATCAAGGGCATAGCTGTCGTTTAATCTCACTCTCATCAGATTTCGATGCCCATTGACATAGTGCTCATTTATGTTAAACAACTCCAATTGATATTCGAAAATCATGGAGAGTGTAATACACTCTCTGTTGAAACGAGTGGCATTTTTTGGGCTTAGGTGCTAACCTTCACTCTGTCTATAAATACCGTGACAAGCTTCAGTTGTAGTGCAAAGACTCGTTACAATTCTTTCATAAACGGCAAGATATTCGACGAAATGGTAGAGAAATTGAATCCTCAATTATCCGCAGTTGGCGAAATGGCGGTACCCGACGTTCAAATCATCACTTCCGGTGGGCTTCGCATAACAGCACACTCGCACATTCTGGTAATGGATTTAATTTTTCTGAAATCTTCTTTTATTTTTCGATTTAGTTAGCGTTAAAACCCTCGAGAATTCATCTCTTTCTGAATGTTATCTGTATTTTCGGTTTAGATTAGTCCGATGCTGTTGTATTAAGCAATTTCCACTTGGTTTCTCTTAATTTCAAATCCAGTTGTTTTCATCTCATGGTTTAAATTCAAAATATTCATTAAAAATTAATACATTTCAATGCATTGATTAGATTTTTATTCCGAATCGTTTGTTTACTCTATTTTTTTGGGGATTTTGCGGAAAATATGAAGGCTTCAGCATCGCCGGTACTGGAAAGTATGATAGAAAGGCCGAAAAAGCGCCGGAGCTCCCAAAGGAATATTCCGATACCCGGCGTTCCATGCGACGCCGTTTCCGTGTTCATCCAGTTCCTCTATTCCTCCAAGTCAGTACCCCATCTACACGCCAATCTTTATCCCTTGCCAAAAAAAAAATTTAATTGGTCATTTTAAAAAAAAAAAAATAAAGAAAAAAAAAAAAAAAAAAAAGCTAAGCAATAATTTTTCCCCCCCAAAATCTAGGGGGTCAATTGCCTAAATAAACCCCCCCCCCCCCCCCCCCCCCCCACCCAAAAAAAAATAAAAAAAAAATGGATGCATTTCCTAATAAAATAGTTCCAATAATCAAAACTTCATTTTCAGGTCCAAAACATAATTTAAATACATATGCCTCTTAATCAAATATCAGCCTTCACTGTACATGTGGCAGAAGAAACAAGTTACAATCATTTACATACATATTAAATTTCTGCGTGGCAAAATTTAATATTTCCAAAATCAGCGTAAAAATTTCCATTTTGCTTTTTATTCAGGTGCAGTGAGGAGCAGATGGAGAAGTATGGGATCCACCTGCTGGCATTATCACACGTGTACTTGGTACCACAGCTAAAGCAGAGATGTACAAGGGAGTTGTCACGACGGTTGAATACTGAGAATGTGTTGGATGTACTTCAACTTGCTAGACTTTGTGATGCACCTGATCTTTACCTCAAGTGCATGAAAATGCTGTCTTGTAATTTCAAGGCTGTTGAGCACACTGAAGGATGGAAGTTCTTGCAAAATCATGACCCTCGGCTTGAGCTTGAAATTCTGCAGTTCATTGATGAAGCTGAAATGGTATACACTCCAACAAAACACTACTGTTCAAATATAATATAAGGTTTAAAACGCAATGGTTGCCACTGCAATGTGACGGTATTTTACGTTGACTATCAATCTTTCGTAGCCCTCCTTACGGGGATTAGGACGAGCTATGAGGGAAAAAAAACAAATTAGATGGAGCTATTAGAGTGTATATATGTTGAGAATTAGGCTTAGTTTGTTAATATTTAGAAAATAGGATTCATCATGTTCCAGACTAGTAAATGAAAGATAAATTTTGTGTTAATTGTTGATCAATGTAATATTGATTTAAATTCGTCCTTAATAGAGGATAAAGAGGACAAGGAGGAATAGAGAGGAGCAGAAGATGTATCTACAGCTAAGTGAAGCAATGGACTGTCTGGAGCACATATGTACTGAAGGGTGCACGAGCGTTGGACCGTGTGACATGGATCCGAGCAAGAACAAGGGTCCCTGTAGCAAGTTTTCGACATGCCATGGCCTCCAGCTTCTGATAAAGCATTTTGCAGCGTGTAAGAAGAGGGTCAATGGAGGATGTTTGCGGTGTAAAAGAATGTGGCAGCTATTTCAATTGCACTCCTCAATTTGTGATAAGCCTGAGCAATGCAGGGTTCCTCTCTGCAGGTAAAAAAATGATTTTCTGACTCACGATTTAATTTATTATTTATGAATAATAATAGTAGTCTCATGAATTGGGTGAAAACTTAGCTATTCTTGTTTATTACACTGTCCAGTACCCCATACTAGTAGTTTGTCTATGAAAAACGGATCAAATTATATTTGGTGTCTATAATTGATTTCTTCTATACAATGCTAATAGATAGGATCTCATTGGTCAGTGTTACAAGATCTCGTGCATTGAAAAAATGAACCAGAATTAGTTAGCGTGGAACATTTTCTTTTCCAAGTGAAATCCTTTAGTATAAGAAAGAGTGAAAAGGTGCTTACTAATAGTACTAGTAAAAGCACACGAGAAATATAGTGGTATATTACATCGTTTAATTATTTTCCTATCCTGTTTGCAATGGCTGTAAAAGATATTTTAGATCCAAGGAAAATCACATGCTAATTGATTGTGATTTTAGACATTGATGGAAGTTCTAATCACCTCTTGGATTTGGGGTATAGTTCTCAAATTGAATTATTAGAAAAGGAAACATCAGTTGGAAAAATAGAGGCAACGAAAATGTGGTCTACATATCGTGTCCTTTCAATAAAATCAGGAAATTAAAGTGGTTCTTTCTTTCTTCTCTATTATTTTACGAAAGCAAAATGTTTAATAGATATGTCCAAATTTTAGGTCTTTTTCTAATATATTGTGGACGTTACAACATTCTTAAAAGATAGGGAATCCTTCCATTGTAGGCGCTAGATTCTTGAGACAATTTAGGGGTCTTAAAAACAGGAGCATCATTACTTAATTTCTCTTTTGTTGATTGTGTCCAAAATATATTTATATCGCACTTGTAGATACTGTCCAAAAGAGGCGCCTTCCAATGTAAGGGCGCATGTGTGACAATCTCGGGCTCTTGAGAGTTGGAACATCATTCTCTCAATTCTTTTTCATTGTTTCTCAGTAAAACATGTTCAGAAAGGAGCCATCTTTTATTGTAAGAGAGCTCTACTCTTTAGAAAATTTAGGCTCCTCAATAATAGGAACAGCATCGTCCATCCTCTTCTTGTTTCTGGCAAAAATATCTTCAGAAAGTGTTTGCAAGTGGCAATGTTCTTCTGAGAGAGACACCTTCAATTGTAAGGGCACTCAACGCTCGAGACAGAATGGGGCCCTTAAGAATAGAAACATCGTTGACTGTGTTATGGTTCGTCGTTTTCTGTCCAAAATATCTTCATAAAGGAGTCCTATTGCCTGATTCCTTATCAGATCAGATGTAATTATTTGATTGATTAAGTGCAATTGACAGCTGAATTGGACAAATTGCCTTGATTTCTTCTTTCTGCTAATAATTACTGATCACAAAAAAATTTATATATTTGATGTGTTATTTCAGACAATTCAAATTGAAGGTGCAGCAAAACAAACGAGGAGATGATGCTAGGTGGAGATTACTCGTGAGAAAGGTGGCATCAGCTAAACTTATATCGTCATTGTCTCTCCCCAAGAGGAAGAGAGAAGACAAACCTTGGATTGCCCAAATGAAAACCTACCTAGAATATATGGACACTAGTCCAAAGTAGAAATTATTGGTGAATTGCAAAAAATTTTGTAAATGAAAGTTGGGCTTGTAGCTGTCACACCCTTTTTTTTTCTTTTTTCTTTTTTTTGGGGTTAGGGTGGGGTGGGATGAGGGTTTGAGCTATTAGCTTGTCCCCGACAACATTTACAAGTGGCTCGTTTCCTCATAGATGGGGTGGAGAAGTAACATTCCGGAGTTCCTTACTCGATAATCAAGAAGCTTGGATAAACCTCAAGTGGATGATGGGGGTAGTATATAGTTTGTGAATGGAGCGTTTGCTTGTCAATTTATCTTATCCATATATTTAAAGCTATGCAAGTTGCTTGTAAAAAGTGTGGACCAATTGGTCTCAGTTCTGATATTTAAAATATTATCAAGATATTTTGTTTTTTTTTTTTTATACTTCAAGATACATACATACAATCGAAGTAGAAAAAATGAGTAATAAAAAGAAAAGGAAAAAGAAAAAGAAAAAGAAAAAGAAAAAATTGGAAGGACACCCTTACAAAAAGAAAAAATAAGCAGCAGTAGTTCACCTTGCATCATCTACTTGGGGTATTTAACAGAAGGTAAAATGTCCTGCCCATGTCGCCGCCCCCACACTGATTTACCTTGCTTTTTAAATAGGGGAGATGACAAAATACTTGCTATGAAATCAGATTCTTGGGAATATTTTCAGGAGGAAGTTTTCTTCTTGAGTAAAGTTGTAATTACTTGAAGAATAAACACAGTTAGTAGCTCTAGGATAAAAGTTTATTACAATGTTTGAGCATGAATATGAACAAATGAAGCACATTCAATAACTTTACAAGGTTTCGATAGACAGAATCAAATCAAAGTCTTTAAAAGAGTCTAAAATCATTGAAGTTTTGTAGTTCAAAACTGTAGAAGGAAATGAATCGTTCAAATGGGTATGAGTTAGCACGGCGTCTAGTATGTTTGCAGCACATTAGATTGATTAATAAGAGGCTCTAGTGAGTTCTAAAATGTGCCTATTTTCTGAAAGAACATTTTGTTTTGAATAATTGTTAAAATAAATATGGAATTGCCTTTTTCCCCCAAAAACATGGTTGTTAAGATCTGATTAAAATCTCTAACTACCGTGCCATACCTTTTTTTATTAGACCAAATTGGATGTAGATTATTTTATGAAATATGGGAAACACTATTCTAATATCAGATTTATTCTTCATCTAGTACACCCAAGTTTTCCTAGAGCAATCGTCACCAAAATTTTAGTGACGAGAATGTTTGGCAAAGTTTTTTATCAGATTATAATTATTTTATTTATTTATTATTTATCGTTTATTTTGAATGATGCACAAGAAAGACAATGTCTGCCTACACTCAAAACGTTGGTTGGGTCCTCCCGCGAGTTTTAAACTGCGAAATCACAGCATAAACTCTTGACTCTCCTTCTCTATCATTCTCGCGTTAATTATTCCCCCGTTTAAATGTTACTTCTTCCCCATCTATAAATCAGTTTGCATTTCCTAATTCGGATATGACATTATTAGGATCTTTTGTAATGTGTGTTAATTTCATTATATATAGATTTTAATCCAAAATGCAAACTGGGGTTCTGGATTTTTTTGTTGGGAAATTTACATCAACGGGGAAATGGAGAAGAAATAATGTAGAAAAATGACCAAGAAGATGAAATAAACGTGAAGAACGAACCGAATATGAAAGGCTCAAACACGACATTATATCGTTGTCTTCAAATGATATTTACCCCCTCTCGGTAACAATTTTGGTGCTTAAAGGGTCTCGCGCCAAACGGTTTGAAGGATTGATTAAGTTTTGTTGCGAAAAAACACAAAAGCACAAATGATTTTCTACCCGAACTTGAAGAACACAAGAGGGAAGAATTGAATATGGAAGAAGAAAACTTTGATTTCTTCTTTGTGGAATGAAGATTATGATCACAAATATTGGCAAGTGTCTTTCTTAAAATTAGAATGATCATTAACCACCTATTTATAGCCTTGAAACATTGCTATACGAAGTGGTGCCAAAGTATAAGCAAAAGGCCGCCAAATTTGAATCAAAAACTACCTCCAACGGCACTAAAAAACTACTATGCGACCACATGGTGTATTCCCATGCGGTCGCATGGTTTATACAAAACCCGGCCTCCATGTTTCGGTTAATGGCTATGCGGTCGCATAGGCCAAAGTATTGGCTCTCATCCCCTCTTTCTTTCCACACACGTATTTATTGATTTACTGAAAAACATTTTTCATCAATTCCCCACTTGTTCAAAATTCAATAAACTCTCATATTAAAAAATATACAATACTCATGCTTAAGAATTAGATATCTGTCGATTTGAATCTAATCAGTGTAATCCAAACAAAGTAAAGTTGGAATCAAAGGTAGTTTGAAACTTTGAACCAGTTATTCTATATGACAATACCGGTAAGGACACACACACGAGCATTATGTGTTCTTAAGTTCCTCAATCTCGCTTAGCACTAATATGGCCTTACGCTTATCATTTTCAACTAACTTTTAAGAGAGAAACTCCAACTCTCTATTGAGGTGGCAACACCTCGAAGTTCATCTAGGTAAAATTCTTCCAATACCTTTGCTATTTTAGAGATACTTGTGTTTTAGCACTGAACTTTATTAAGAACTTAAGGCTCAACCCTCACTTCAGTAACAACCAGCATTATTTTAACTAGGATAGGATCATTGCGGATTGGAATAATGCTACAATTATCCACATATCGAATGACCCGTTGTTACCATTTGAACTAGTGGATTACCTTTTGAGTAATGACAGGTAGGGTTGCCATTATTGATGGACCTTTTTGGTTTAGGAGTTTCAACCACATCCTACTCGAAGTAGATGTCACTGAAAACTCTATTTAGTAATTTAAAGTATTTGTTACGTCTTTATAAAAATTATTCCATCTTTGATAATTTCCTTATTAAGTCATGTCCAAGACTTATATGTCTAGACTTTCATTATATGTGACTTAGTATTTTATCAAATATAGCTAGCCAACAATTGATTCATTTGATAGATACAACTTGTCACCGTCAATAAATATTTTATGAAACCACATGCTTCTCACTAGCTTTATTTAAAGCTTTATGTATATTCAAACATGGTTGGAAGATTTCAATCAATTATTACACTAGTCCATCCCTTTAATTTGTGAATTTTACACATGGGTATTCACTTCTCATTGTTGAGGCATTACCATGATTTTTCAACGGTATGAATATTCTCCTTATAATTATAAGGGCTTCTCTACCTTTAACGGTAACTTGTAAACTAGGTTACCCCCACAATTCCTTCATCGGGAATGCATATGCAATTTAACAATATTGCATCCCCAAGTCTTTGAACTTCTTATATAAGTTCATAATCATTAAAGTTAACCCTTACATTTTGAGTTATACTTGAACTAATATGTCAACTCCCACATTTGGAATGATACTTGAATTTATTAATTCTTTTATAGTTCAATTCACTTATGACTTTGATAAGCCGATGAATGTCTTAGTTCAGAAAGTGGTTGTTAACTCACAATTTACTTTAATCCAACTATCTTTGATTTTGATCACATAATTTGATCAAAGTCATCTCATAGACCAACAATACTTTTCCAAGCATAAACCAACTCAATTGGTTTTACAATTGAAGTAAATTCAATCAATGAAATAAGACTAAGTATCTTGATTTACAAGAATTGCACTTTGTCATTTTTACAAGATAACAGTATATCATATAAAATAATAAAGACGTATTTTTACCTTATTCATGTTTGGACAAAAGCACATTTTGCATAAGATCATTTTTAATATTTTCAAAGATATCCGGCAACACTACCAACTATAGACATTATTTATCCTTCATAAAATGTTTCCATATCCTAATAATTGGGTAAGCAATTTCCACTTTAAAATAATTAGGACAAAACCATATTTTGTCATACTCTTATATAAATATAATTTTGCACAAATTGATAAGTTGTGTTCTCCAAAGGCACTACCCTACGAAAGGACACGCCTCTTAAAATTAATCTCTACTAAGAGACACCCGTTGGAAAATAATTATACCAAAAGTCATGATCTTTCATATGAAAAGATACATTTTCATGTAATTTCATCCTAAAATATTTCATAATATTCTTCAAATGAATGAACACATATTTTTCTTCAATTACTAATTAAAATGAACCATAATCAGATTTTAATTTTCAATGTCTCATTTCCAAATAACACGTTTCCCTGTTTAGCATGATTCATGGTTAATCGAGAAAAAACACTTATCTCATATGACAAGTTAACATATCTCCAAATGATGGAGATGAATCAATGCACTTGTTTATTTGTTTTAAATCACATGACTCATGGGTTTTTTTATTAACCAATATATCGTTTAAATTGAATAGGTACCAAATAAACGTACTTATTTGGATTTCATAATACTGACACAAATCATTTCGACATAAATATAGGCAACGGTTAATAAATGAAGAGATGCAAACTAATGGTCACAAAAATTATGCAAGTTCCCACAGTCCATGAAAAGGGAGTATACTGTAAATATCTTCTTTCATTTATACATATAAAGCATACACATAAGCATGTGATAGTGGATATATTATTAAAACCATTATAACCGAATCGCTTCAACCTTTTCTATGTAGCATATTATGAATACATCCAATTTATATGCAAAGACTGCTTGTAAATAAATTGCATGTAAAGTGCAAAGAATGCATCTGATAGAATAATTGTTTTATTCTAAATAAAAATTAGAATATAAAATGCACAAAATTATCGTCTTAAGATTATTGGAATATAACATCAATGTTGAGCATATTTTATATTCACATACCTCATGCATGTTTGAAATCGAAACGCAATTTCAACTTACCGAATTTGGAGAGCAATTTCGACTTACACAGAGTTTGGATTCATATTCTTCTACAGGTCGAACCATTTTGCGAAATTAATGCCATCGAACAATCCTCACGAACAAAGTTTCAATCCATCAACTTGAATGGATTAAGTTTCAATCCATCAACTTGAATGTCGCCATATTTCATTCTCCATCGCAAATATCGTTTGAGATTGTTGAGAAATTTACATCAACGGGGAAATGGAGAAGAAATAATGTAGAAAAGTGATCAAGAAGATGAAATAAACGTGAAGAACAAACTGAATATGAAAGGCTCAAACAGGACATTATATCGTTGTTTTTAAACGAAATTTGTCCCCTCTCGGTAACAATTTTGGTGTTTAAAGGGTCTCGTGACAAACGGTTTGAAGGATTGATCAAGCCTTGTTGTAGAAAATCACAAAAGCACAAATGATTTTCTACCCGAATTTGAAGAACAAAAGAGGGAAGAATTGAATAT